ATATTCCAAGGTTCTTTTATTGTTTCTTTCCTTTTTGCCTTTTTTTTTTTTTTTTTTTTGCGGTACGCGGGCCTCCCACCGCTGCGGCCTCCCCCGTCGTGGAGCACAGGCTCCGGACGCGCAGGCTCAGCGGCCATGGCTCACGGGCCCAGCCGCTCCGCGGCACGTGGGATCTTCCCGGACCGGGGCACGAACCCGCGTCCTCTGCATCGGCAGGCGGTCTCCCAACCACTGCACCACCAGGGAAGCCCTGTGCCTATTTTTGTTTACTTTGATCTTTCTTCCATTCTGATATTCCAAGGTTCTTTTATTGTTTCTTTCCTTTTAGAGAATTGCCTTTATCCGTTATTTGTTATTTGGGGTAGTGCTGCTGGTAACAGATCCTCCTAGTTTCCTTCATCTGGGAATGTCTTGGTTTCCCTTCATTCCCAAAGGATCTCTTCACTGGGAATAGGATCCTCGGTTGAAAGTTCTTTTCTTTTGGCACCTAAAAAGTATTGTGCCCATTCCTTCTGGACTCTGTGGCTTCTGAGAAGAACTCTGCTTCATTCACACTGTTTTTCTCCTTTAGGTAAAATGTCATTTTTCTCTGGCTGCTTTCAAGATTTTTTTTTGTTTTGCCTTTAATGTTCAGAAGTTCAATTATGTATTTTGGAGTGGTTTTTTTAGGGTTCATCCAGTTTGGGGTTTGTTCAGCTTGTTAGAAAAAAATGCAGGCTTATGCTTCTTGCCAAATAGGAGAAGTTTTCAGCTGTTATTTCTTTGAGTACCTTTCCTCCATCCTTCTAGGACTGTGATGACACAGATGTTAGATTCTCTGTTACAGGCCCACACGTCACCACTGAGGCTCTGCTCATTTTTCTAGTAAGTTCTCTGTTGCTCAGGTCTCTTCTGAGCATATTTTTATCATCTGTAGAGGATACCTTTACCACCGTGAAATCACACCTAAGTCTTCTGGCCCAGAAATATTGTCTCTGGTGATTCGCTTTTACCTGTGTGCAGGTTCAAGCTGGAAAGGACCACAAAGAAAATCTTAGAGGCTACAGTTAGAAGCCTTTGGAAGTTCTTATCTTCATCATTTTTTATCCTTGACAGCCTCATTATCGTAGTACCTCATTGTTGCTACCAGTAATTTTCAGAAGTGACAAGTTTATATGATGAAAGTAAATGAGACACATATTCATATGAGGAAAAATGGGGAAAGTATAAATTGGAGATTTGTAGAACCAAGATCACTTTCAAGAATGTGTTGAGTGGGGTTCCTGTCTTACTTATAAGTAGCTCATTTAATCCCTCTGCATGTGATATTATAATTGTTTAAAATAGCATTTATGTTGTATACTCTTTGTACTCTTATGTACATGTTTGATTTGATAATGATGTGTGGAGAGTATTAACTAAAGAAAGTTGTGTTTGTGTAAAGTCTCTGATGAGCAGAAGAAGAGACCAGCAAATGAGGTAATGAATTATGAGCTGTTTAAGCAACTGGAGGACTTCTCAGTAGGGAACCTAATTTTATTGCTTATTCAGCTCTGACACGTCATTAAAAATTACTTCTGCAGGAGACGTACTCTTCACCAACACACACACACACACCCCTCATTTCAAATATAAGAATCTGCAAATACGTTTATAGAAGAGGTTCAATAAACTAAATGATTAAGCATTTAGTGTAACCAAACTGAAGTTTTTGGAGTGATTTTTCCTGTTATCACTTCAACATTGAAGTAATTATTCTTCCCTTAACTATTTCCAATTTTTAAACAATCTCTTGGAATAAATGTAACCTTCTATGTCTACATTTTGAATGAGCTGTGTAGGTACAATTCTATAATGATTAAAATTGCTGGCAGGGCTTCCCTGGTGGCTCAGTGGTTGAGAGTCCGCCTGCCGTTGGAGGGGACACGGGTTCGTGCCCCGGTCCGGGAGGATCCCACATGCCGCGGAGCGGCTGGGCCCGTGAGCCATGGCCGCTGAGCCTGCGCGTCCGGATCCTGTGCTCTGTAGCAGGAGAGGCCACACAGTGAGAGGCCCGCGTACCGCAAAACAAACAAACAAACAAAAACAGTTGCTGGCAGAATCTAAGAATTTGTTTATGTAAACAAAACACTAGAAAATTTGAAGTGTTAATATGTATGACTTAGGTTACAATATCATATAAATTGGGCTACTTGTCCAGTTACTTATAGATACTGAAACTACCCCTAGAGCCATGAATAAAATACGGTTCAGAGTAAATGCATTTCTATAGTAGATATGTATGGCCTTCTTTGTGCAAAAGTAAAAAGAACTGGTAGGAGTCGCGCTTCCTGAGTTGCTGTCAGAAGTCAGAGTCCTCCTTTGTTTCGATACGTGATTCTAAAGCACAGTTAGTGCTCTTGGAGCAGAGGATTCTAAATGAGAGAGAGCCTGGGACACCCACGGAGTCCCAGAGCTTGCAGGCTGCTCTGAGAGTCTGAGAATAGTACAAAGGTTTGATATGGACAGGCTATTCCCAACTTCTCTTCCAATCAAGGTCGTGATTTAGTCTTTACACAAGTTCGCTGACACACACTGAGACTTACCTATTCGTCAAACAGTCCTGGAAAACCAGAGCTTCAAATGTGGTCTTCTGTCTGGGACACTTACCAGGAGGGTATGTGAGTGTGAACGTGTGTGTGTGTGTGTGTGTGTGTGTGTGTGTGTGTGTCTGTGGAGACAGAGCTTAGGTGACAGATGCTTGCTGAAAGTGGCCTTTTATGATTTCAAATTGGGGAATTTAAATAAAAGGCCTGGAAGTAAATTTTAAATATATGTTTTCATAATTTGTGATATATATATACATATATATAATATATACAGGAACGATTTCCCAAAGTCACATTTAAATAACTTAGATTCTCGTTGCTAGCTTTGTTCTGTCTCATTCCATTGATCAGTCCCTATTTTCTGCCAGACATTTTCCTAGACACTGTGTTAAATTGATGTGGACCAGAGCCTGGACCAATGGTGACTCCATCAGGATATAACTCCTCTTTAAGCTCTACTGGGTTCTCACCATGGGGAAGCTGGGATTGTACATTAAAAAACGGGGAACGGTAATCCTCTTTCTTCTGGCTGGCCTCCTTTAGCTCCAAGTCCCATCAAACCAGGACGGAACTAAATCGACACTGTCTAAATATTTTAATATGTTGGTGATTCACATTTTTTTAACCTATGAGACATTCAGAAAGGATGAAATTCCAGTGCCTCAATCCCCATTCCTACTTATCAACATTTTCTTGTGTACTTTTGTACAATTATGTTTACATAAACATCTTTTTCAAAAGTTCTTACCCAACAGGATTGTACAAATATCTACGTGGTATAAAGATATAATAATAAAGCCAACATTCATAGATCAGCTTAAAAAAATAACATTACCAGCACTTGTTCAAAATTGAAAAAAAAAAAAAAAAAAGGAAACAACCTAAATGTATAAAGCCAGAGGATGTGGTGACACATTTTCATTTGTTTTTTCACTCAGTGTATGTTGGTTACCTTTGCTATCCATCTCTGAGCACTGCCATCTGGCTTTTGCCCAGAAAATAAGACCTCAGTGTTTGTTCGGATAAAGGATACCGTCCTGGTACCTGAAGGGCTGTTGGGGAATGATTCGTTTTACATCTTACATTAAGCATCATTTTTACCCAGCCATAATCTAGTAAATGTGAATAGAATCCACATAATTAGTCAATGTCTTATTCTAACTAAGGCAAAAACTAGGGTGTACTAATAGTGTACAATGACATGGTTTCCTTTTTCGGTAAAACAGTAATTATTTTAGTGAAGATTCCCAAGGTGAATCACAAAGGTCGGGAATAAGAACAGTGGAAGATTAAGCAGTGGAATCATGGGCTCCCCCTTCTGTGGCCTTTCCTTAAGCCACTGGTCAGCCTCTGTCTTTTCCAAGAGCTTTTCTGACGGCCACAGAGAGTTCAGTGTAAAATAATTATTTTGTATATTGTAGGGAATTGAGTCAAATTTAATAATTCAGAGATGATCAACTGAATAGTCTCTGTAGCATATGATCTAGCTGAAATATCCACAGTTTCTTTGGATTTTCTGAGTTTGGATTCTCAGGCTAATTCATCTTCAGGCAACAAGTGAGGAATGCCTTTCGTTGGTCAATCTTTGGTTCATGGTCATTGTGACCATTTTTAGTTCTTACTTGGGAGTGTGGTTTAGAGACACAGTCTGTCTCATTGCAGGGATAAACGCCTCAGTTTTATAAACAACCCAATTTGGCAATAGGATCCCTGGGGAAATCAAAGGTCAGAGGTACCAGAAGACGTTTGTGTTCTGTATGTTCTGCAAACATGATCTGTGTCATGGTTAAATGTTGGATTTTCATTTATTGGACAGTCTTTCAACTGAGAACTCTCACAAGCCTGGGAGCACTTAAGATAAAGGATGGGGCTTCCCTGATGGCGCAGTGGTTGAGGGTCTGCCTGCCAATGCAGGGGATACAGGTTCGAGCCCTGGTCTGGGAAGATCCCACATGCCGCGGAGCGACTGGGCCCGTGAGCCACAACTACTGAGCCTGCGCGTCTGGAGCCTGTGCTCCGCAACGGGAGAGGCCACGACAGTGAGAGGCCCGCGCACCGCGATGAAGAGTGGCCCCCACTTGCCACAACTAGAGAAAGCCCTCGCACAGAAACGAAGACCCAACACAGCCAAAAAATAAATAAATAAATTTATATAAAAAAAAAAAAGATAAAGGATGATTTGCGCCTTGATCCCTTACCATAAAATAACCTACCAAAAGTTTATTCCATGACATAAGCCTTGCTGTATAGGCACCATTTTAGAGCCCTAAATGTTCAGGTGATTCCGTGGTTTAATCAGTTGACTATTATTTCTGTTTGACAAAAAGACATAATAGTCAACTGAATAAACCATCAGATTTTTAAAATATGTTTCTGAAGACATTTTATAAATAGAAAAATTCTAAATATCCTGTCTTTAATTTTTATTCTCAGGTTGGAGAGACCAGATGCAAAAAGGTTTGTACGTCCAAGTCTGATCTGAGATCTAATGACTTCAGCATCGTGGGGAGCTTACCGAGAGATTTTGAATTGTCCAATTATGACTGCTATGGAAAACCCATTGAGGTCAACAACGGACTTGGGAAATCCCAGGCCAAGAACAACAAGAAGCCGCCTCCTGCCAAACCCGTTATCCCGATGGCAGCAAAGAGGATCGATCTTTATGCAAGAGCGTTGTTTCCTTTCTGCTTCTTATTCTTCAACGTTATCTACTGGTCTATATATTTATGATAAACCTGTTCCATTCGTATAAAGTCAAGTCCCATTGCATTGTGAACAACCTCGTTCATTAATGCCAATCTGTGAACATTCTTTGCATTTTCATAGCAATATATTGCATCTTGGATGCCATTGGAGTGTAATACAAATATGGCGCCTTCATCACGTGGAATGGCAGCATGATCTTGTTACTTGTCTGTGCTCTAATCATGATGTATTTATGTGAAGCAAACATAATTGCTTTAGGAATAAATGAAGGATAAGCATACTACGTAAAATAGAATCCGAACATTTCTCTCCAGTTAGTGTAAATTGCAAATATTCCGATAATTTTGATAATAAAATGGGGTGCACTCTGAACCCCGTTTTGTCATCATCGCAATGTATGTAGTGTTTCAAATCCCTTTCCTTGTACCTTTCGGAGAAAGCCATCTTATTCTTGTACAATTTTAGACAGTATTATCATAGATAAAGCAAAAGTATATTACATATGGTATAACTTTATAAGTAGAAGAGTATATCAACTCTAACTACATGAGCTCTGTGGAGAAATAAAGTTCAAACAAATTCCTAATTTGTAAAAGCAGCTCATTTTAAAGTGTGCCTGTGTTGTCAAATGCCAGATAATAAAACCCAGTAAACATTTTTGCAACAAAGGGAAATCTAGATTTACCTAAATTCGTGCTGAATTCTGGTTTCTCATAAAATAAAAATAAAAGGAGATATATTGATTAAATATTTCTGATAAAAGAAATTCTATTTAGTCCACTTTAAAACCTAGATATATTTTCATGGATTTTATTTTGTTGATACAGAGTATACAAAATCATTGTGCCTTAAAAAGAGTCATAAATATTTTGAATTGGAATATAGTAATGAATATGTGATTTCACACCATTTGTAAGAAACCAAGAGGAAAATACCTTATTACTAGAAGTAACTTGAGTTGGGAAGAAAAATCCATAATCATTAGAGGATTTTAACTTCTTTATTTTATTAAAATGCTCACATCTTTTAAAGTAAAATTAAATTTTTTTCCTGAATTTCTCTTTTTCTTATTTGAATAGTGTTTGATTTTGTTACAAGACATTTAAAGGTTAAGTAAATGATTGCTTAGTTAGATCTCACCTCCATTTGTATCTTCTTTCTTGCTAAAAGTCCAGGCTACTTGGATTAATTGCTTTGGTCTTATTCCAACTTGCGAATAGGTACTTTCTGGTCTATAAGACTTGTATTTCCTAGTAATACCAGAACCAATGTACCTTTTTATTTCTCTATAGCTGATACTAGGACTATCAGTAATCCATGTAACATAAACATAAGACCAAATAAGTATATTTACATTATTTGGAGAGTTTGCAGCAGCTGAGGGTTTGGATTGTCAATTCAATAATAAAATGTGGGGCTTCCCTGGTGGCGCAGTGCTTGAGAGTCCGCCTGCCGATGCAGGAGACGCGGGTTCGTGCCCCGTTTCGGGAGGATCCCACGTGCCGCGGAGCGGCTGGGCCCGTGAGCCATGGCCGCTGAGCCTGCGCGTCCGGAGCCTGTGCTCCGCAAATGGGAGAGGCCACAACAGTGAGAGGCCCGCATAACGCAAGAAAAAAAAAATAAAATAAAATAAAATAAAATAAAATAAAATGTGTTTACATATTGTTTATGCAAATTGCCATCTATAATTCAATGTTATTTTATTGAAGACTTTAATTTGCAAAAGAGTCACTGATTACTAAATCTTTAAAAGACAAGATATATCTAATCCTCTGTGGTCCTTCAGCACCCTCTAGTTGCAAAAGCATAGTCATCTGAATCACTTTAAAAATGCCACATGTCGCCCTATTGATGGACTTCAACATCCTGCTAGGACCAGGACAATAACATCTTAAACTCTGAGAGGAAAAAGCGTCTTGCATAATACTTAGACCATTTAAATTTGTAGTTATAATTATATTTGCTTATGATCTCTGTTCTTCATTCTTGCCAATTTCATTCATTTTAGGGAGTTTGATTTAGATATAGAGTTTTAAGTGGGAAATGTACGAAATGGAAGACAGTTCTCATTCTATAAGAATTTAATTCTTGAAAATAATGTGAATGAATTCCTTTCTGTAATACAATATTGTAGCCTCTTGAGATCCATTTTAATACCCAAATATGTATAACTAGCTATCCCAGGATTAAGTGTGTATATAACTACAAATGGAACATTACGCAATGATCATAAGGTAGTACAATTGGTGTCCACTAACAGTTGCTTTCTATTGTTATCTTGAGAATTTAGTCACTTAACCCCAGGGTAGTTCTGATCTGTGTACTTTAAATATTATGTCTTTCTAGGAAACTTGCAGTATATTTACCTCGATGTCAGTATCGCAAATTCCATGTTTCCAAAATAAAAAGGATCTTCTTACAAATCAGCCGCTTCTCTTATTTTCTGTTTCCAGTAAAGCCATCACTATTCCAGTCCCCCGTGGGCCATCTGCCTTCCTTTGTCACACGGTATACCCTGGGCAAGTTCCAAGTCCTAAAATTTCCCCCCCTTACACCAACCACTGCGTCTCCATTTCTGCGGACACCACCCTAATTCAGTTTCCCTTTCCCATGCATCAGATAATTACAGCAGTCTACAAACTTACTTTGTGATGTTTATTTTGTATGGCATAAGTAATACAGGAACATCTCGACGTATTAGCAAAACAGGTGTGTCTAAAATAAGTAAGCCCTTAACGTTGTCATGACCTTCTATCTTCAAACCTTTCTCTTTTCCCAGAGGTCACCACAGTGACCTCTAGGCATCTACAACCTCTATCTACCTTTTAAATATAAAAGATAACGTAATGGGATTTAACGTAAATGAGATTTTACCATATGTATAGTTTTGCAATTTATTTTTCATCTACTATATTTTGGAGCTCTTTCTATGTGAGGATATATTGGATGCTGATAAATCTTTTGCCTCCTATTATTCTATAGCATGAATGTGCCTGAATTTAGCTTCTTTTTAAACATGAATTTTGATTGTTTTTCTTTTCTAATACAAAATAGCATTGCACTAAATATTTTTGTCCACACATGCGTATATTTCCATGAAGTGGATGCCAGATGTGGAGTTGCTGAGTTGAAAGATGTCTACATTTTAAATTCTGGTAATGTCTTTAGATTGTCAAGATGCTGTGTGCAGACTCTCACAGCCTGGTCATCTCTTAACCTGTTGTATGTAGTATAGGTATTACTTTTCTTTTTTAAAAACTTTTTTTGACCTTGTTTCAGACTTCCAGAAAAACGTGCAAAAGTATTACAAAGAATTCCTGTACACCATTCATGCCAGTGCCCCAAAGGTTAGTAGTTCATCACAATAGGTTTATTTTCCCTCTCCCACTGTGTGTGTGCTCACATGAGACACGTTTTTTTCTGAAACATTTAAAATACAGTGGCAGAGATGATGATGACCCTTTGTATTTACACACTTCAATGTATGTTTACTAAACAAGGAACATCCTTTCATAACCACAGTAGTACCAGGTACCCACATCAAGAAATTGACATTGATAAATTACTATAATCTAGAGGCCTTATTCAGATTTGCCAGTTGTCCCACCTTTTCTTGTTTGTTTGTTTGGTTCAGGATGTAATCCAGTATCACATATTCTTTATTTACTTGTCATGACATTAACTGCTTTAAAATAAAGCTGAGATCACGGCATTCTGCTCAAACATCTTTAGAGCTTTGTATTGCCCAATGAACTAAGGGAAAAACTCTTCCCTCTGACATCTAAAATTCTCCTTGTTAAAGTTTAACTTACCTTGTAGCTGTTTCTCACGTTGTTCACATCTCAAACTCCAGCCAAACTGAAGCTGACCTTTGCTTATCACACTTAGCAGTGACAGGATTGCTAAGTTCAGCGAGGTACCTTTCCTTTTAATTTTACGTCTCGTTATTTCTCTTAAGTGGGTCAGTCTTGGATGGTTTGTCTTCCCATACTCATTTTAACTGATACGATTTTATTCAACATTTTATTCAACATTAAGCGTGCGTCAGTTATACAGTTTCGTCTCTACTGAATAATAAAATTAAAAATATTTCCCATTGCATATGCAGTGTTCAAATTAAGCTGCTTTAAAAACCATTCAATTTATCATCATCTATATCATGGAAAATTTCAGTTTACATAAATAGCTGGATATAAAAATTTAAAGTACCAGGCCTAAGATGAGAAATAGTTTGAAATCTTTTTTTATAACCTTTAATAAGGATTTCTTGTTAAAATTTTATTATCTTGTTTTAGAAAAGCAGATTTATTCCAATTATATTTTCAAATGAAGTGCATGTGTTTACACAACCTATCAATAATCTAGCATTCACTAATTCCCCCCAACCTTTTTTTATGAAGCTGGTCGTAACCTTTTAAGAGGTTAGGGTCCAGTTCTTTCAAAGCATTGGAAACATCAATGGAGTAAATATGCTTTACCGACTTTCTTGTGATTGATATGAAAGGTTAATATGGATGCCATATTCAAGGGTGGTTATAATCTTAGGGTGTTTATATACACATATGCATAAATTTGATATTTTGTATTTTAATACATTTTGCATTTTCTCCACATACATACACACACATATATACATAGGTATTTTTTAAAAATTAATTGATTTAATTTATTTATTTTTGGCTGTGTTGGGTCTTTGTTGCTGTGCGCAGGCTTCTCTAGTTGCAGCGAGCGGGGGCTACTCTTCGTTGTGGAGCACGGGCTCTAGGTGCGTGGGCTTTAGTAGCTGTGGTTCGTGGGCTCTAGAGCGCAGGCTCAGTAGCTGTGGTACACAGGCTTAGTTGCTCCGCGGCATGTGGGATATTCCTGGACCAGGACTCGAACCCATGTCCCCTACACTGGCAGGCAGATTCTTAACTACCGAGACACCAGGGAAGCCCTACATACATATTATAAAATTTTGTCCTTGATCAGCAAGAACAATGAGAAAACTCGTGAATTCTGTTACAGTTGGAATTTCTGTACTC